AAAATAAGACATGGATTCTTGCCACTTTACCTCAAGGGCAGAAGACAGTAGGGTGCAAGTGGGTGTTCTCGATTAAATATAAAGTAGATGGAACAATTAAGCGGTACAAGGCGAGACTTGTAGCAAAGGGATTCACGCAGACATACGGAATTGACTATCAGGAGACCTTCTCACCCGTAGCCAAACTTAACACAGTGAGAGTATTGTTGTCACTTGCTGCAAACCTTGATTGGCCTTTACACCAGTTCGATGTGAAGAACGTTTTTCTGCATGGAGACCTAGAAGAAGAGATTTATATGGATATTCCTCCGGGATATGTGGCCAACACAGAAGACAATGCTGTTTGTAAATTGCAAAGAACTCTATACGGACTGAAACAGTCGCCTCGAGCTTGGTTTGGGAGATTCAGTACGGCAATGAGAAAGTATGGGTTCCAGCAAAGTAATTCTGATCACACCCTATTCTTGAAACACAGACAGGGCAAAGTGACTGCTTTGATTGTCTATGTAGACGATATGATCATCACAGGAGACGATTCAGAGGAAATAACAAAACTTCAAGAGCAGTTGGCATTTGAGTTTGAAATGAAGAACCTAGGAGGACTTAAATACTTTCTGGGAATTGAAGTCGCTAGATCGAAACAAGGTATATTCCTATCTCAGAGAAAATATATTTTAGACCTTTTAGCAGAGGTTGGATTGCTAGATTGTAAGCCTGCAAATACTCCAATAATTCCAAATCACAAACTTGGGGAATATCCCAACCAAGTACCAAAAGACAAAGGGAAGTACCAAAGATTGGTGGGCAAGCTTATTTATTTGTCTCACACGAGGCCTGACATTGCGTATGCAGTAAGTGTTATAAGCCAATTCATGCACTGTCCGAGTGAAGATCATATGAGTGCTGTCATGCAGATTTTAAGATATCTAAAGTCCTCCCCTGGAAAAGGGCTCCTGTTCTCAAAGAATGACCACCTAAAAGTAGAAGGATATACGGACGCAGATTGGGCAGGGAACATCATGGATAGGAAATCCACCTCAGGCTATTTCACCTTTGTTGGAGGAAACTTGGTTACTTGGAGAAGCAAAAAACAAAAGGTAGTTGCACTATCTAGTGCCGAAGCTGAGTTTCGTGGAATGGCTAAAGGGCTATGTGAATTACTGTGGCTTAGAAGACTATTAACAGAGATTGGTTTTGCTTCCAACTCTGAGATGAATTTGTTTTGTGACAATAAAGCAGCAATTGATATCTCCCATAACCCCGTACAGCATGATCGGACGAAGCACGTGGAAGTAGATCGACATTTCATCAAACAAAATCTCGATGCAAAGATCATCCGTTTTCCTTTTGTGAAGTCTGAGGACCAACTAGCAGATATTCTTACAAAGGCAGTGTGCAATAAAATATTCTACAACTCACTAGACAAGTTGGGACTCATCGATATATACGTACCAACTTGAGGGGGAGTGTTGGCGTGAGTTGTCCTTGAGCAATGGAAGGGCGGATCACAGGCGGGAATCTTGCACTGCAATCCCTCAATTACAGGGTCAGTATCAGATCCTCAATTGTAGCCTTATTGTAGCCTTAATATTTGTAGTCCCTGTATAGCCCAACTCTGCCTATATATACACAAATTCTGTAATAATCAGGTGAGTATGAATATAAGATTTTGTTTCATTCCAACACTGACATATATGACGGATGGAGACAGTGGGCACTCCCAGTATAAAACCAGTTTTTGAACGGGGTTTGAGTAACGGGGTGAGACGATGAGCCCGGTTAAAATGATAATCATAAAAAAAGGGAGAATCCCACTCTACATCCCCAAAGATATAAGATTTTTTATTTTATACCCTAAAAAATTAAGATTTTTCATATTATATTTTTGATATATTACAAATATTCTAAGATGATCATTTCATTAGCTTCAATTATTTATTATGTTAAAAATCATATCATTAAAGTTGACGAAATAAGAAACGAAAACTAATAGAATGATCATATTTTAAAACTTTTAATACGATGATAGTGCAATGAAAAAAATTAATCTTTAAATATATAAAATAAAAAAACTTGAATTTTTTAGGGTTCAAAATGTAATTTGTCCTAAAAAATATTTCTCTTAAGGAATATATTATGTTTGTGGCGGTTGATGCTTTATCGAGCAGGAAGGTATTTAAAATAATAACTTTGGGCCAAACTTGAGACCGAGTATTTAAGAGACTTAAAAATCATAAAAAAACTAGCTGCGGATGCTTCTTGTACTTGAAGGCATCTAGCGGAGTTGACTTCACCGGCTTCAATTTTTGGATTTCAACATGTAAATATTTGTATTTTATTAATTTATTATTTTTTGTTTTCATATTTAATGTGGTACCAAAGAAATTTTATGGTACCATAACTAGGGTATATATGGACTGGGTCGGCCTATGGATTTTGTTATCCCGTCTGAAAAAAATGAGTTCAAAATTTGATAGATCTGATAATTAACTCGCCCAAACCTGAACCTGAGTTCAATATCCTTCAAGAGTGAGGTTCAGTTTGTCCTTAAACTCATTATTCAACCCGAAACTTGACCCATGAACCGACCAAAAAAACTCGACCCAAAAACCCATTCACCCAGCCCGCCTGCCATTCAAAGTTAAAAGTTTGGTGGCAATAATATGCCTCAAAAAAAAAAAAAAAAAAGTGAGGTGCATAGTGCACCATGCTCAATATATGCGTTTTTAAAAAAAAAAAAAAAAGTTGTTGACTTTACCTCATGCTGTTACTGATTTTTTTTTTTGGCCAACTATTGTTACTGATTTATTATTTACTTTTTATCTATTTTTATTCTACTTTTAATTGAAAATTGTAATATACAAAAATTAAGTTAAAATTTTTTTAAATAAAATTATATATATATTAAAAAAAACCGGTCCAACAGACTCGCAAAAAAAATCTACCTAATGAGCGACAGATTGAACTCGATGTAGTTTACCCCTATGTGAAGTCCAATTCAACCCACCCTATAACTCGTCCAAATAAGGCCTTGCCCATCGGACTGTAGACACCCCTAACCATAACTTTATCCAGAGCCAGAGGGCATATGGCAAATGGCTTTAACGAAATTGACAAACTAAAAATATTTCCTTTTTGATTTTAACATATTTACCCATATTTCTTACTTGTATTTGTTGCAACCAAAATACCCAACGTTAGCTATTGTTTGTGTCCAATTTATTTATTTAGATCGGATCGAATTGTTTGATTGGAAATTCGGATTTTTTCAACTTCCATTATGGATTGTAAAAACAAAGATTCATACTAGGTATAAATTTTTTCGATTAAATTTGAATTTGGATTGGATGATATGTGATCCAAATTCGATCGCTTTACTGACCTATTGACTCCGAGTATCAATTTAAACAATATAAAGTAATTTAGAGAGAATTAATTAAAGTGCATATAATTTGCCTCAAACCCTAGCCGTTGAACATAAAAAATGGGAGAAACAAGTTGCGTCCGGACGTCGGTACACAGGTGTGCTTGCACATAAATCTCCTCAAAAGAATGCCCATTTTATGCCGAGCAGGCACCACCCTGCACAAGTCACCTTGTATCTGGCGGAAAGTAGTTTTTGTTTTTTTATTTTTGATTTATTGTATTGTATTGTATTGTATCACTATTTAATATTATCTCCGTTCTTAAATATTTGTCGTTTTACATAATTTTTTTGTTCTATAATATCTGTTGTTTAATGAAACCAAAACATAATTAATATTTTTTCTTCCAAGTTTACCTTTAACTTTTTAATGTATTAGATTAGGTGGAGGCTAAGTGTTTCATATTCCTTTCGTTCCCAATACGTATTAAATAGGAATATTTTAATCTTATATAATTATTTTTTACTCGTATTACAGCTATTCAATAGGTTCCTTAATTTCTGTGCAAAATCTTAAACGACAGATATTTAGGAACGGAAGGAGTATTAAATTGATAAATAGTCAAGATGAGCTTCACTTTTCTACATGAATAGTTACTATTAAACTTTGTTGAATTCATCATATATCATTGATTGTTTACCCCGCGTAACAATGTTGGATGGGCTTTTATGGACATAAAGTGGAGTTCATTGTGATAATGTTTGACTTACCAAAAAAATAATACTCCTATTTGGGAACATAACCTTTTCCTGACAAAGTAGGTCTGCTTCAAGTTTGTTTTGCCGGCAAATTGATGCCTTTTCGATTTAAATTTCCTCCAATACTATTACCCCTTAATTTTCTTTAAGAAAAGATTAATCATCTTCTATTTGTCGATTATGTAAGACGCATACCTCATACTACCTCAAACTAATTTATTCCCACCAAGAAAACTATTAATTGGATTCGTTGGATAAGAAGATACATCATGCTAGCCCACCAAAAATTTCCTTGTTTTTGATGTCTTAACTGACTTTAGCATAAGAGAGTATTAGACCAACATCCCCAACATTACCACCTTCTACTTTGTCCATTCTGTCGGTGATTGAGGTGGAGTTTACATTTCAAAGGTATGAATCTAGGCTACTATTCAACAGTGCCTATGAGTAGGCCATAAGAATTAGGTTGAAGCATATTCAATGCACGAAATTTCCGTCATTACGAGGTATAGGGAGAGTTAGATATACGCAGTCTTACCTCGAAGAAAAACTGTTTAAAAACCTAAGTTGTACTCCAAGAGATGCTAATGGTACCAAATTCATTATTCACTAGGGCTGCAGAAACAGCTTGTCTCGAGCAAAAATGGTGGCCGCTGTTTGGCAAAACAAATAGAGTATCGGATCGTTTCTAGTATCCAAACCGCTCTAGCAATGGCCACAAATACTAGGGACGCCTGGGTTATGGCTTCTGGCTTTTATTTCAATTGTAACATTCAATTCAAGATAGGTATAGGAGGGCCCAGAACAGAGGAAGGAAAAGAAAGAGAAACAAAACCACAAGATCAGCTATCCAGCTGTTGTGACAGTAGTTTGGATTCTTTGGTATCGAAAGGGGAAGTGCATAGCCTGTTGTGATAAAATTTACAATCCTCTGTACATGAAAAGTTTGAATTTTATTCCCAACTTTATTTCAGTACATATGGGAATTTGGTACACAAACTCGGGCTGTTTATGTGCTCACTATTCCACATAAAAATATGTACATGAACTCAAAACTCAGCAAAACATCTAATTGGATCCTAAAAGTACCTAGTTTAACTTTCACCCAAGGACAAGGGGAATCCGTTGCGAGCTCAGCAAACGAACTTATCTCCGTTCTCTTGAGATTGTATTAAAGGACTTATATTATGCTCTCTTCCAGTTGGTCCATACTGATAACTGATTATCCTAAAAGGAGCAGGCTAATCAGGCCCAGTGACATTCAAGGTCGACATATTCACATGGGCTGGACAATTCTTGTGCTTCCGCTGCCACCATTATGTATCATTCACAATATTTACCAGCCATCCAGTTATGAGCTCTCATTAAACGTTACTGACCTGTACAATGCTGCTGGATTGGCTTTTAAAACCGTATAGGTTTCCCTGTGATCCTTTTCGTTGCCCTTTGATTGGAAAGCCTTAAAGAGACCTGCTCCACTAATTGATTCTGCTTTATCATGTTTAATCCCCAATGTCGCCCATATAGAGCTCTTTGCAGCTTCTCCTGGGTCATCAATCCTCAAAGTTTTTGGAATCCAAAGGCACTTCTCAGGATTACCTTCTTTTTGTGGCTCTTCTTCCCCCATGTTGGTTGTTTTAAGCAAGCTGTCTTCCCTTGAATGCTTCCCCAAGGTTGGGGAATTAGGACCAGAAGTAGGGGTCAAGTGGTCTTGAGACATCGTAGGCTGGGTAATCCAAGTGACATTCCAAGTTTGTGGCACATTACCACCCCAATAAGGTGCTGCAGGGTAGAATGGCATAAGGAAGCCAGCAGGGCAGACAGCAGGTGGTGGGTATACTGGAGAGTTCCATTGAGCCGTATTCCATGGGAAAGGCCAAGGAGCACCAGGAAGGCATTGTCCCTGAGGAGGAAAGCTCTGAAAATTCCGCATCAGTGGGTCTGGCAGCACAGTTTTACTCACCTCATCCTTTGAACTTGAAGCAGTGACTGAAGACCCACTAGAGTGATCTTTGCCATCATCTCCAACTACATAAGAAACTGGAATTTTTAGTTCTGGTTTATGAAACCCATTCTGTGAGCTGTTCCCCACTGTATTCTCAGCAATATTCAAAACTGACGCCATTGACTCACAGAAAGGTGTGTCTGAACCAAAGGTGAGGACAGTGCCATTGGGATTCAGAGCAGGGTGGTGAATACCATTTGGAACATCTGCTCGGGGATTCTGGAGGGCTTCTGAGACGGTTATGTGACGGTAGTGAGGGGCAGAGTTTTTGTTCTTGCGACGACCGGCACCAACAGGCACATTCCTCATTGTCCCACCAGCTGTCCAGTACCTCTGGCAATTCTTGCAGAAATGCCGGGGTTGGTTCACATTGTAATTATTGTAATAGCAGAATTTGGTGTCCATGCTATTACAGCGGGGGCATGGAAGTATCTTGTCTGGTTTCTTTGGGGATTTCTCTTGCGAGTTACTTGTCTCACTCTGTTCTTCTTCAGTTTTTATACTTCTCACTGGTGCAGCATCATCGTCAACAGATAGTGTTTTTGAGCTCTTGTTTATCTCTGAAGTTGCATTAGCATTAGTTAACTCCACTGAAGTCAGAGATTGGGCACCATCCTCCTCTTCAGGATCAATTGGTTTTCCTTCCGGTGGATCCTGCATGTAACATATTTTACAATGAGGAACAGAAGTGAATGGTGGGAACAAAATTCTTAACAAAATCTGAACAGAACATCTATATTAGGGTTTTATGTTAGAAAAAAGCATAAGAAATCTAAATAGATAACGCTTATGTTGACAACCAATTTAGTATGTCAAACTTGAATATCAGTATCCCGATTGTAACCTACTTCATTACTCTTACATCCTAACCAGATTCAAGAAAATATCAGCAATAGTCAAACTAGTCATCATTATATCATTCATGAAATTTATGCTGAAACAGAAAATCAAATGATGTCGGCAAAGCAAAGGATATTGGATTTCAAGCACCATCCATTTGATCGCCAAGACCCTTACAAAAAAAAACTGTAATGCTTAAAGCAAGTAGAGTTTTGGTGGCCGTTATGGCATTCCAGGATTTCATCCTTCCACACTTCTTCTCCACATTCAAGACTAGAAAGAGTGAGATAAACAAGTAGCAATGTTTGCAGTAATCCTATCAGAAAAGATAATAGGCGTAACGTCAAACTACTAGGAAATTGATTACGCTTATGCCAGTGGGTCACGTGAAAATGACAATAAGGATAACTATGCACTCAACACTTCAGCAGTGTAAGAAAACAGAACTAAACTTTTACCCAAAAAATTAAGAATGCAAGGGCTTACTCGTAAAACTTTTTTCTAGATTATCATTGATGAGCCAAAAAACAAATCTAATATCCAATGTCTTAAAATAGATTTATTCTTAGCATACGACCTAGGACTTTAAACTTGAACAGCATTTATCTTCGACAGTATGCTAACAAAAGGATATTGCCAGCAGAAAGCTGCACTCGCATCAATAAGACTAAGATCTTCGATGCACCAATTACAAGAAGTTACACCTACCGCTATTAATGAAAATGGGTTTAATTTGATATTGAAGATGTGAAGTTATAGCTGAGTTGTAATTCAACAATCCATATCCTTCCCGCGATGGAATCCATATCCTTGGCCTAAAGCAAGCTTATATGGTCTTTTAAAACTATAGAGATTATGATTATCCCAAACTCTGCAAATTAAAAGCTTTTTTTATCAACATGACCCCCAATGGAGTGAATTAGTAAGAAAAGCCATTTGCTCGTGGGAAAATGTGAGTTGTTCACACAAGAATCTAAAAGAAACAACTAGAGTAGGTATACCAACAACCATGAATTTCCAGAAACAAGTAAGGAAATCCCAATATTGAACAATAAAAAAAAGTGGCTCTAATTCCAAATCAAAAGGTTTGAATTTCCAGTTAATTGACAAAAAACTAGAACATCCAAAAACCCTAATTAGAACCCTCCAAAGTCCCTGAAAACATAGCATACTGCCAAGTCAACAATATTCTCTAACCATTTAAAACCTAACATGTACCCACCATTTCTTTTTGAATTCCAGATAAAGGGTCTTACTTAGAATTAAAAACTACTCATCCAACCCATACCTTCTCTGGTTCTTGCCCTTCTCCAGCTCTAGTCAAATCGTCCTCCTGGGGCGAAGAATTGGACGAAGAAGGATGATCTTGAGTGGGCCCATCACGACCGGCAGGATCAGTAGACGGTGCCAGACAAGCTCCACCGCAGTCAGCGGCCGAAATGTCAGGTAAAGCAATCGTCTTCCCAAACAACTTTATCCCTGGGTCTCTAACTTCCGACATTTGGGTGCACCTTACCAAATTAACTTGAAAAGAGGAGAGAGATACAGAGAGAGATTAATCCGGAGGTTTTGCGATTGGGTCTGACTCAAGAGAGATCTGACACAGACGGAGTGCGTGTGTTTTGGGTTAGGGGTTGGGGGTCCGATGGATCTTGTAAGTTGGTTGTGTATGTGTTCTGTTCTTGGCGTCGACGACACTGTTTTAGATCCGATTAACCAATAGGCATTCCACGTCATCCACCAAAAACAATTCTGAGCCACAAGGTTGTATGTGGCCTTTGATATCTTCCCTTTCTCTTTCTTCGTCCTTTTGGTTTTCATAAAGTTTCTTCTTTTTTCCTTTGGATTCACACTTGCAACATAAAGTGGACTCTCTCTCACTCCCTTTCTCTTTCTTGACACTAACATTTATTCCTCGGCTATTTTCTCCAACCACCACGAACTTTTCAAAAGTGGCCTGAATTTTCTCTGCCAAATTGTTTGTTTTGATTTCTTGTTCTCCTTTTTGGGGTTATTTGTGGTTGGAAATGCATATTGGCCTAGTTTCTTTTTCACTTTGAAGTGTCCTTCCAAATGTTTGCCACTACAATAGGTATACAACGGGTCATGTCTTTGATTTCATTATACAACTCACTTTAATCGTACACAATTAAATTCAATCCATTTAAATGGCTTTTTAATATTCAACACCCCTTTTTGTTGCTTTTCTTAGTTTCGATCTTATTCTTTTGGAACTTGAGTTTCACCCTCTTCGCGTTTAAAATTGATGTATTTTTTTGACCCGGAATAGTTTTAGTCCTCGTATTCATTATATTTTGTTGACTTTGAACCACAACTCTTTCATACTTAGTTTTGAATATTTGGTTTCCAATATGCATGACCCAATACTATAGTCTTTGGTCAACAATTTATAATTCTCTAACCAAGACGTATCAATTAACTCAAATGTAAGTGCTCCACAGTCCCCCTTTTTTTTCCTTGCAAGACAATAAAATAGACCAAAAGAATCAACAGTAGGATGATTCCCAAGGACCTTCCAATGGTTCAATTGAGGTTGACAACATGGTATTCTATGCAAGTGAGATAAAACAAAAAAAAGTATATTTTGAATCTGGAGTCTTGTTTCTGATTAAAAAGAAAAATCTGCGACTCTTGTCTTTTATATAAAGAAATGTTGATTAATTATCTTTGGGACATGATTTCCTAAACATCTACTATTTTATAGGCGAAGCTTCATTTTATAGTTGGTAGAATTTGTTGCTACTTTGTTGGAGATATTTAAGTAAATATCATAATTTTAAATTAGAAAGTTTATTTTTTGATTGATTATAAGTTTATGGCGATTTAGGAAGAGCATAGAATCCATCAACTTTAGAAAATAGAAATTATTCCATGTATAAAATTTATGTGAAAGATTTTAAGGTACCAAAAGAATCATAATAAGAAATCGAAATCTTTCGTTGAATTAAAGGCTCCAAAGACTCTTCCTTGGTTCCATGAGGTTCGTCATTTTTGGTAATTTGAGATCGGCAATCTCCTTCTCTTCTACTGTTGCATAAAGAAATTCATTTTTTTTTTGAAATATTAAATAGACATATAGATAGGTCGTGCTATATATTGATCATGAAGTATTACATTTCGACACCATAAAATTATTTGCAGGAGATATCATCGCACTTTTGTGAGAGCCCAAATTAAAGTCTCATTGTATACTTTAAACCATAAAAAGTGGGTTTTTGATAAAGAGGGAGTTTAATTTTACAGAAGTATAATTACAAGGGAAAATTTCAACTACACCCCTCTAGTTTACTATATCTTCAAAGATTTTTTCTTTATTTTTTAAATTTTCAATAACACCTCTATCAGATTAAAAATATTAATTAGAACCCAAATTTACTAAATTGCCCATAATATATTTGAGGACAAACTTTATCTACACCCCTATAAATAAACATATCTTCAACGAGACTCCTTCTGTTTTTTAAATTTTTTTACGTATTAAATTTCGAGCCGATTAAAATTTAATTCATTACATATTAAATTTTGAGAAGATTAAAAATTATATGTTTTACGTATTAAAATTTGGATTAATTAAAATTCTATTTGAGCCAATTAAAAATTATTTTTAGTCCACTTAAATCAAATTTTAATTAACACACATTGAATTTTAATCAGTCCAAATTTTAATACATAAAAAAATATAAATTTTAATTGACTCAAATTTTAATAAATCGAATTTTGATTGACATGAATTTTAATAAGTAAAAAAATATAAATTTCAATCAACTCGAAAGCAAATTTTAATCGGCATTAACAACTTGAATAGAGTTCAAATCGGCTCAAATTTTAATACACTTAAAAAAATAAAATTTAATCAGCTTCAATTGAATTTTAATCGGTTTAAATTTTAATATGTAAAAAAATAAATTTTAATCGGCTCGAATTTTAATATAATTTTTTGTAGAAAAATTACTTAAGGTTTATGTGGGGACATTTTTGGTATTTTAGATGAATTTGTTTTTTAGAAATGGTAGTTTAATGGTAGAGAGTGTTAGTGATGTTTAAATATAAACTAGAAGGGGGCGTCAGTGATATTTTTTATAATAGAGAGATATCCTTGAAAATATAGTAAACTACGAGAGATGTGAGTGAAATTTTTCGTAATTATAAAGATTGGAACCCAAATATAAATGGAAAAGATCTGGCCAACCAGTGGACCAACCACTCGGTGCTACTTCTCTCCGAGTTTTTGCCAAGTCTTGGTATATGTTAATTTAGAGCAAACAAATAAAAAAAATATTATATAATTTAAATGAAATTGAATAATTGAAATTTAAATATATATTACTCTTTGAATGAGTGTGAAATGAGTGGATTATACTGAAAAAATTGATAGGACCTATTCATCTAAAAGATAATATATATTTGAGTTATAATTTTTTTAATTTTATTTGAATTTTTTTAACATTATTTTAAAAAAAAATTTAGAGTAAGGAAAATAGGAAGTCAACGTCTTGTTACGCGTGTACACATAGCATTGAACCCCACGTGGACCCCAAGCCAGAGTAAGGAAATAAGTATGCTTTGTGCCACGTCAATTCTACTGTGCTTGGTCCCACCTCCAAAAGTTAAAATTGAAAAGTCCCCATCCGAAATTAGGCCCCAAACCCCCCAAGATCAGCGCCGTTTATAAAGGTGACGTGTCCCTCCATTTACGCGTGCGGTAGCAACTTATGCTATGTTTGGCGAGGAAAATAGAAAAGTAAAAGAAATAGGTGGATTGTATCTCCAAAACAGGTTTTTTGTTTTCTGATACAGAAAACAAGTGAAAATTTGTTTGGACAATCTATTTTCTAGAATAATTTCCAAAAATTTTGAGAACAAAAGGCTGATTTTAGAGAATAACTAAAGGTGTTTTTGTTGTTTTGGAGAGAAAACCTAGGAAAGAATGGAAACACGAAGAGCAACCAATTTTTCATTAATGAGATCTTCCCTTCAAACCTTTTTAGCAACAAAATATATTCAACTATATATAAGCTTTTTTTATTGCCTTTCCCTGTTTTATTTTGGCTTTCTCTCTCCACACTCCGGCGATACCAGACAAAAGGAAACACGTCTGGGTTCAGATCTGAGTTTGCTCCGATGTAGGCTACAACATCGATTCCAGTGTCGGCACATTTGGGTTAAGATTTGGTTTTTCTTCAGATTTCTCCAGGTTGGATCAACTTCCTTCCTGTGGATGTCCGTTTCAAGGTGAGGTAAGATCACAAATGCCTACCTGTTCTGCGAACTCGAGTTGCTCTGGTTTATGATCAAGGACGGATTTATTGGTGGACTGAAGCCCAGGATAAAAAAAAAAAAATTACTGTTAAGTACCAGTCCAACCCTTTCCCAAAAAAAAATTTCATCCAACCCAACCCAACCCAGCCCACTGCAAAGCTTCTCCAATCGGTCTCTCTCAGTCACTTCCCCATGTCCTGTCTCTTCTCTCTTAGTCTCAGGCAAGTCACTTCCCCGAATCTCCGGAGAAGCAACGGCTCCATGGCAGGCGGTGAGTCACTCTGTGCAAACACCCTGGTTTGCGGGCTTCTTGAATCACACACAGGTTTGTTTTTTTCTCTGGTTGACGGACCACGATGCTTCAGATTTCTCTGCAACTGCAACGGCTACCAATTTCTTGTTTACTGGCTTCTTGAATCACACACAGGTATTGATTTTCTCTGCTTTAGATTTCTTGTTTTCCATATCCATTATTTGTGATGTGCCGAACAAAGCTTTGCCACTAAGTGGGATTACCGATTACGGTTGCGGATATGCTTTGTCACTTAGTTCTTTTTGAACAAATCCCCTTTAACAAATCCCCTGTTCAATCCGCAGAGCCACATCAAAAAGAACAAATCCCACTTAGTGCTAATCAGGGGATTTGTTCAATAAGCTGCTTTTTCTTCAATAAGCTTTGTTCTTTTTGATGTGGCTCCGCCCTTGTTTGTTATCAAAGCTCTGAAGAAGTTGTGTCTAAGAGGATTAGACTCTCACTCGAGTTCAATCTACAGGTTTTGAACTTATATGTTCAGTTTTGGTTCTTCTAATAATTGGATTTTCATTCTTGTGCAGTCTTTTATATGTGATTTATGGGTTTTTATTGTTGCATTGTGAGCGAGTCTTTGATTCTTGATATTGATTACACTTGGTTCTTTTTCTTTTTGATGTGGTAGAATCAGGGAGTTAAAGATTTTATTTTTGATGTCCACCTAAAATAAAACTATATGAAGGGTAATAAATTGTAAAATTTTAAAAACCTGAAAGAGGTCGAAGTATATTTAGTCCTCGACTGCCTGTAGACAAGTACCAATCATATTATTCTTAATTTCTTGAAATAAAGATGCTTTATTATTCAATTTTTCTGAAATGACAAAAAAATTAAGGTGATTATATCATAAGTGTGAAATATGTACTTAATTGACCATCATAAGATATTGTCCCACAGCAATAGGCAGTGTGGGCCTCTGGTTACTCTATTGTATCCTCAGTTTAGCTATAAAACCCACTTAGTGCTAAAGATTGTTCATTTGATTGAATTTATGATTTTGTAGTTGGTTTGTTCAAGACACAACATGCTCAAGTCAGGAGAAGTGGTGAAACTAGCTATATGCTCGGTAAAGAAACCTGTCAGTCTCATAAGCAGCATTCACCTCTGATTGACTTTTAAATTGCTGGGAGAACGGTAAAAAGCTAACTCAAGAAATATCCATTGTTCATTTGTTTGTGTTCATATGTATGTTTAATAGGTATATTTCTCCATTGTTTGTGTTCATATGTATGTTTAATTTCTTGCTTTCTCTATCCAATGATTGTGTAACACAAAAATAGATTTTTGGGGCAGAGGAACATAAAATTAGATTTGGTAATGAAATGTGTGAGGCCTAGCAATATCTATATGTCTCTTGTAGATTTTTGGGGCTAGGTGATTCTTGTTGATTTGTTTCTCTAGTATACGTCTTTAATTTTCAACCCTTCTCTACTTTATTAAGATGGAAAATCAAGAACGAAAAAGAGCAAAAACAATTTTTTCGTTCTTTAAAAAGAAAAGTGGAGAATCAACATCAAATTCTAGTCTTGAACCTTTGAATCTAGCAGAAACATCAAGTGTTGATGTTCCTATGATTCTTGCGGCTGTTGAACCTCAAGGTCTTCAACCTCAAACAAAAGTTCAAAGAATTCCTTTTGATGAGAATAAACTTGAACAAGATCCCGCATTGCGTATTCCGATATGGAAACATCCTGCTTATAATCAAGATGACGTTAGACGTGTTTATATAAAGTGGGGACCAAATCAACCTATCTTGGCTGAGTATCCGAGGACTAAAACTGGAGTTCAAAATCGAAGATTTCAGGAAAGTTGGTACAAAAAATTTCCATGGCTAGAGTATTCTATTTCAAAAGATGCGGCATTTTGCTTTCCGTGCTTTGTTTTTCAAGGTCGTGAACCTCTACATCCTGCATTTACCGTTGATAGTTTTAGTAGTTGGAAGAGAGTGAATAATGGGGCCAAATGTGTTTTCTTGTCACATATGGGAGGTCCTGCTTCCACACACAATAATGCTGTGAGAAATGTTTAGGCGTTGAAGAATATATCAGTTCACATTGATAAAGTTATGAATGTTCAAAGTTTAGAAGAAATAAAGAGAAATCGATTGTGTCTTAAGGCTACCATTGATAGTGTTCGATGACTTACTTTACAGGGATGTGCCTTGAGAGGTCGTGATGAATCTGTAAATATCAAAGAACCGTGGTAATCTAATTGAGATGATTAGTTTGATGGCAAAGTTGAATGTTGAGATAAATGATGTTGTCTTAGAGAAAGCTCCAGGAAATGCAAAGTATACGTCTCCTATGATCCAAAAAGATATTTTGCATATTCTAGCTACTAAAGTAAGAGAAAAAATCCGTGAAGAAGTTGGAAATGCCAAGTTTTGTATTTTGGTTGATGAAGCAAAAGATGCATCAAATAAAGAACAGATGGCAATTGTTTATGAGATTTGTTGATGTTAAGGGTTTTTTACAGGAGAGATTTTTTGAGATTGTGCATGTTAAAGATACCACTTCTTTAACTCTTAAGAAGAAAATATCAAAAGTTCTTACTCGTCACAATTTGCACATTCGAGATTTACGAGGTCAGGGATATGATGGTGCTAGCAACATGCATGGTGCATTTAATGGATTACAAGCTTTGTTTCACAATGATTGTGAGTATGCATACTATGTTCATTGTTTTGCTCATCGTTTACAACTTGCATTAGTTGCAACTACTGAAGATGCGATTTCAATATGACAATTCTTTTCCAAATTGACATGCATTGTCAATCTTATTAGTGCTTCTCCTAAGCGTCATACAGAACTACGATCTGCCCAAGCTACTGAGATTGAAAGAGGGATAGCTTGTGGTGAACGAGAGACTGGTAAAGGGGCTAATCAAATGGGTACTTTGCATCGAGCTGGTATTACTCGTTGGAGCTCACATTTTGAATCTATTTGCGGTTTGATAGATATATATGATGCTATCATTAGTGTGTTTGAATGTATGATTAACGAAAGATCTTCAAATACAATTCGTGGGGAAGCTGGTGGTTCTTTAATGGCAATGAAGTCCTTCGATTTCATATTCATATTGCATCTTATGCACAAGATTATGGGGATTTACGAATATGCTTTGTCGGGCATTGCAACATAAATCATTAGATATTTTGAACGCAATGAATTTAGTCTTATCGACAAAATCATTGCTTCAAACCTTGCGAGTAGAAGGTTTTGATTATCTCCTTGGCCATGTGAAATCAGTTTGCATGAAATTTGATGTCGATATACCTGATATGAGCACTCAGTACAAAGGGGCAAGACGTTTATGTCAACAGAATGATAGCATTACAGTTGATCATCACTATCACATGGACTTATTTAATGCTACGATTGATCATCAGTTAGAAGAATTACATAGTAGTTTCAATGAAGAGACAATGGAATTGCTTATGCTCAGCTTTGCTTTAGATCCTCGGGACAACTTTAAATCTTTCAATCCTGATCGCATTTGTTTACTTGCTCAGAAATTTTATGCAGCTGATTTTGATAGACAAGACATGCATCATTTAAAATGTCAACTGGATCATTATCAATTTGATGTGGTTCGCCATGAGAGGTTTCAAAATATGTCTACAATTTTAGAATAATGTCGTGGTTTAGTAGAAACAAATAAGGTAGAATCCTACAATTTGATTGATAGGTTGATTCGTCTTATTTTAACTCTTCCCGTTTCTACAACAACTTCAGAAAGAACATTTTCAGCCATGAAACATGTTAAAAGTACTCTTCGTAACAAGATGGAAGATGAGTATTTGACTGATTCGTTAGTTGTCTACATTGAAAGAGAAATAACGGAAACAATCGATACAGATTCCATAATAGATGCCTTTTGTTCTAGGAAGGATCGAAGAGTTCAATTTCATTAGTAAGTGTTTATGAGTTTACATTTGTATTATTAAATATATATTTATGAGTTTACATTTGTATTTTGTTAGTTGTATGAATGCTTAGCTTAGCCCGAAATAAACAAATATCCTAGCTCCGCCCTTGTTTATGATGATCATGGCAAAAGCAGCTTGATGAGGGGAAAGCTCTCTGATTTAGTTATGATGATATCATATATATATATGTATGAGTGTTCTTCGATTTTTTTTGTTGAAAAAAAAATTATTGGTGTTTATATATTTTTTGTATGGAATTTGTTTAGTAATGGTGATTGATATATTTTTTTATATTGATTTAATTTTTAATGAAGATTATTGAATATGTTTGGTTTATTTTAAAGTTTGGTTTATTGAATATTTTTATGAAATTGTTAATTTAAAAATAACTTTCTTATATTTTTTTATTAATTTTTGAATTACTGTTCAAATAAATATTTAGGTTGTCCAAACAGGTTTTACTATTTTTTATTCTGTAAAATTATTTTTGAAATTATATAACCAAATAAGTTTTTCATCTCAGAAAATATCAAAACACACTTTCTAAAAACTCTTCTAAAAAACTGTTTTCAAATACTATTTTTTGAAATGCAAACCAAACAGGCCCAGGATTTTTCTTTCTTATTGGTCCATTTGTTCAGTAAAATAATATTAGAAAATATAAGAAAGAGAAAATTTCAAATTTTTGGTATGTGTGTTTAGCGTGAAATAAAAAATGATAAAAAAAATAATTTTTCTTATGCTTAGATTTTCTCACGTCTAACTAAATTTTTTTTCTTGTAAAAAACACAAAAGAAAGTAAGAAAGTGGTGTTTAATGACTTAACTTTTCATTTTACCCTTATTTTTTAAAAATATTCAATAAGTTATTAATTTAAAAATTTTTTGTACAAATTAGGCTAATTATATAATTTAGTCTAGAGATCAGTGTTTGAGTCAATTCTTGTCCTTGAATTAGATTAGGAGACAATTTTTTTAAGATTTGAATAATACAAAATATTTTTTTTTTCTTTAGACCGAGTTAAAATAATTAAGGATAATTTAGACAATTAAAATTTTTTTTGTAACTTTTATTTCTTTCAAACAATATAATGAAATTATTTTAAAAGTTTTTCATACTAATCAAATGCATGCATGAAAGCGTTTGTTCCTTTGCTTTCTTTTCTTTTATTTCAATTTCTATCTTTTTTATTTTTTATTATCTTTTTCTTACTACTCAAATGGACCACAAAGGAAAGAAAAATATTTTTTTTTCTTTCTGTTTGATAAGAGAGATGAAAAGTAAGAGAGATTTATTTTTTATCGTTTAGTATTTAATGAAAAATGAAATAAAAGGAAAAATATTTATGTAAAAATTACTTCTCTACCCTTGCTATCCTTATAATATATGAGCAATACTATTATAATTTAATTTATTTAAATCTTTGGATTGACTGTTGGTTACATCAAACTTTAGAATTTATTATTGATCCAATAATTCCAATGAAACTACATCATTAAGTCAATAAATTAAATTAAATTTTTAGATCCTAATAATATTACTCATAATATATTGTGCGCCTAATGTTTCTTGTAATGAATAATATAACTCATTCAAGTAAATTTTTTTTTTGTTCAAACTCATTTCAATACTTTGGTTATTAAGAACAATTAAAAAAAAAAGTTGGTCATTATATTAGTGGAAGTGAGTATTGAAGCAATGTTTTAGATGTGCATCAAGGGCAAAAGCGTCAGATTAGACAAATTATTAGTTGGTCTGCAACATTTCTCCAACTTTTCGCCACACTTTTGGGAGGAAAGAAATTGGTGAGCGGGAAGGATGGCATTTCACTACAATTTTTCTCTCCTTCCTCTTTTCCTTTCAAACAAAATAGTGAAAAATCTTTCCTTTCATCCACTTTTCCTTCTCCTATTTTCCATTCACCTTATTTTTTATCAAACCAAACAGAGGGTTAAAGAATCTACCCTGGTGGCTGTGGCTTCGCCTTGTTACTAAGTGTAGTTATACCACGTGACTCACACGTGTATGCATCTAATTTTGATTTCCCAAGGAATTAAAATAATAAGGTGCTAAACACGAGAAAATATTCATTTGTAGTGGTGATGATAAATCAATATTATCATTTGATATGATTAATCATTAATAGGTACATAAATAATAAAATGGATTTTACATAAATT